TATTCCATCCACATGTCCTAATTTTTTAGACAGTTGATACTGCATTGTAAAATTTGTAATTTAACAGGATGGTACCCCAGCTCTGTAATCTGCTAGATGCATGGGTAGGTATAACTTTCTTTGAACCATATATTGCTAATAACAGTTTATAATCTATTTGCAACATGAAAGTTCTTCCATGAATAAATTTACAGAATTTTTTTATAGCAAATATTATTGCTAGAGCTTCTTTCTCTATCTGGCTGTAATTTTTTTCTGCCAATAGAAGTGAACATGAAGCATGAGCAAATGCTTTCATTTTACTATCATCCTATTTGTGTAAAATCACCACTCCAACACAGTAATCACTACCAGCTGAAGCTACTACAATTTTTGCTTTTGGATCATAATGTGCTAATGATAACTCAGACGTAAGACTTGTTTTTTCTCATCAAACACTTTTTGACATTTCTGATCCCAATTCCACTTTACTTCTTTTTTCAGTAGATTGTTAGATGGAGCTGTCAAATTATATATGTTATGTGCACAAATTTCAATGATAAATAGCCAGTCCTAAAAAAGCTTGTAACGTAGTTACGTTTGTTGGTGCAGGCATATTTCTAATTGAGTTTGCCCCCAACAGATCTGGTTTCCTACCATTTTTACCAATAATTTGACCCAGATAATTTATTTTTGGCAAAAACAATTCACATTTTTCTTCACTAAGCTTGAATCTGTATTCTCTTAGTTTTTTCATAATTGTTTTGACATGCCTAACATGTTTTTCTTTCAAGACTCTTTTGATGAAAATATCATCTAGATATGACACTGAAAAATTGCAATCCACCAGCATGGTATCCATGGCTTGTTGAAAAATAGCTGGTGCCACCTTTATACCAAAAGGAAGTCAATTAAACTTATATAAACTTCTGTGCAAATTTATAGTTGTTAATTCAGAACACTGATTTTCAGTCTGAATTTGTAAATATGCTTCAGAGAGATCCAACCTTGAAAATATTTTTCATCATTCAAACCTTGAAAGAATTTCTTCTGGACTTGGTCATGGGGTAAATGTGTATTTCAAGACAACTATTTAATCCAATCAAGAAATCCACACAAACAAAAATTTTGTCATTTTTTTTTTATGTACACCACTGATGCACCCCATTTTAAATAGTTTACTTTCTGCAATATACCAAATCTTTCTAGTCTTTATTTATGTGTTCTAATGCTGCAAATGGTATGCTCCATTTTGGTTTAAATACTAGCATCAAACTGTTTTTTACTTGAAAATTCACCTTGAATTTTGAACACTGACCCAGTTCATTAGACAGAACATCAGGAACACATTTAATTCTTCCTTGAGTTTTTTGCTGTGACTTTTTAAATTTCTCACTTGTCCACTTACATTTTTACAATAAGTGTTTATTGGCAAATCCCACAGTTCAAATAGTTCCATCTAGTCTGTACCAAATAGATTCATCATATTTATTAGAACATAAGCTTTTGTTTTTACCTGCTTATTTCAAAAATAAACATCACATATTAATTCTCCCCACCAAAATAATTTCTCATCAGAAACTGAAGTTGCGACTTTTTAATAAAGGTTTTCTAATTTCTTTCTATGTGGCTTCATTTATTACCAGTAACATTTTTACTCCCACATTATTGATTTGCACCTTAACAAATTTTCTTGTTTCATGTGACTATTTTTTCTGTCGCAATAGTGTGTATTAATTTCTTCCTGTGAAAATTTTTTTCTTGGTTTAGTTCTGCAGTGTGATTTGATATGCCCTTTTTTACCACATTTATAGGATTTTGCATTTTTCCATGGACAGTCTTTTCCAAGATGTAATTTTCCACATCTGAAACAAGATTTTATATTCCTTTTTGTGCATTTTTCCTTAGCTTTTACTAATGCACATTTTTTATTTTGAAGTTTATCAGCATCATGCATCAGATTTAGCATTGTTTGGCAATTGTCCACTCTTTCCTGTAGTGTTACATTATTATTATGTTCAATCTTTGCTAAAATTTTAATTCGTACTTCAGCATCTTTTTTCGCTGTTAGACCTTGCACAAAAATTAAACCCTTGAACATATCTGGAAATTTAATTTAAATTGTTCACATTCTATATTGATGGTAATCACATTCGTGACAAAATCTTCATTCTCTTTTTTGGTTAAATTTATGCACCTCCAACAAGCATGGAACAGAGAGCAGTTGTCACTAAAAATTTTCATCAGAATGTGTACTGTGTCTTCAAAACTTATTTTACCTGGTTTTCTTTTTAAAATATAATTGCAGTACTTTTACAGTACTTTTCATACTCTATTGGAGGTATTTTTCTTAACAACATGGATTTTTTATCTTCTTCCCAGCCACTGCATTCCTGACTAAATATTTTTTCATGTCAGTGAAAATACACAGCAGAAGTGAGTCCATTATCAAGATTGTATACGAATTCTGATACAGTGTTTTGCACCGTGTCTGGCATAAGAGACATTGAAGTGTTTTTCTTCAAAACCACTTCCAACAACTCTTGTTATTGTTATTGCAACTGTAGCAACTGTTGGGTATTTTGTTGTTGTTGAATTTCAACTATTGAATCTAGAATTTTCTCTATAACTGCAACAAAAATATTTCTTTAAACCAACATGGTTGAAATTCTTGTAACTCCTGTTGTACATGTATGAGTTTCAAGAATCTGGTCACCCACTATTATAATTCCAGTTATAGTGTGGGGTTTGTTATACCACGCCTGAGTTCAAGTTCCTACATGAACTATTATAACTCCAGTCTTAATGTTGTGATTTTTATCCCACACTTGTGTTCACATATTCTCGTTGCAACTGTTATAATTTCAGTTATAATGTTGCACTTGATTTAGAGATCCTCCAGTATCTGTCTATATTTCTGAGATCATGTATTATGTACACTATTTACATTATTCAGACTATTGCCTTCATCTTTGTTGCCATATTTATCACAACGTTTTGATCGTTGTATGCTCCGGACTTCTTCAGGTGGTTGGAATGAGCGTACAATGGCCAAAACGTTGTGATAAATATGGCAACAAAGATGAGGACAATAGTCCGAATAATGTAAATTAGAGATCCTCATCGCCAACTATTATAACTTGTTACAATGCTGTGAATTTATCCCTGTGCTTATGTTCAAACATCCTTATAGCCAACTGTTATAACTTCCTATTGTAAGCTTATAGTTATAGCACACACTCGTACTTGGTATAACATAATTCATTAAGTATCCTCTATATGTAATACTTAGGCTATAGCCATAATGCTTGTATAGTTAGTATGAAGACTGACTCCAATACAACTACTATCAACCTCATAACATGGAACTCTTTATAGTATTGGACGAGTTCACATGTACTTTTTACTCCACAATGATACTACCTTGTGTTATACCTGAACAAACTCTCAGTCTTCCACAATTGATATATGATACTCTGGAACAAGCAAACGAATCTTCTAGATTATGGGGAAATCAATATCCTTTTACTTATCTCAATCATATCTTATCTGTATATGTTTATTTGTCATTTCCACTGTAAGGCTGCTATTACAATGGTCAGTATTAACTGTTAATTAAGTAAGCTAATTTGATGCTCATGTAGCCATTTTGTTTGTCCTATACTGGGTTCAAAAGAAAGGTTGCCAGTTCCTTAAAATGAAAATACAGGATGGTAGAGTGCTGGGTTTTCCCAACCGGGGGGCTGTGGACAGGTTTCCAACCATGAAGTATGCAGACACCTTAGGAACGGATTCTTAGCCAGATGTCCTCATCTGACAAAGCTGAATTAAATCAGTTTGGTATTTTTGAGTGATAAAAATTCATATGTAACAGACGTTCATTGAAGAATTTCATATGGCCTTGTAAACACCAGTTCAATTAGCATTTTAGAGTAAAACAGAACTGTATTAGTGCTTATTAAGTTCACCTTTAAAAAAGCATAATTTCTATAAAGTATCATTAATTCTCAAAATGCAGGGCTTATGGTCATATCATGTTGAAACACGCATTCTTATGTACTATCACTGAAGTTAAGCAATGTTGAGCTGGTCAATGGGATTTATAGGTCACACAATCTGCAAACCTGCTTCTAGTGTCACCAGATAGGCCCTTGACTGGAAACCACAAGAGAAGCAAAAGGTGGGTTGACCAAAACAGATTTGGTGCAGAAGAGTTGACACAGAAGTGAAGGCAGCTGGCACAACATGGGCCAAGCTAAAGAAGATCACCTGGAACCACATCTGTTGAAGAGGTGTTGTTGTGGCCCTATATTCCCAAGGAATCAAGAGGCATAAGAAGAAGAGCTGGTCAATACCTAGATGCGTGACTGCTTGAGAATACCAGGTGCTGTAAACTTGGATGTGTGGGTGGTGTAATGGATAATAGCTTGGAATTGAGAATCAGTGAGCTGAGTTTGAATTATAGTCAGGTTCCTTATAGTCATTCATGCAAAAATATCCTTGGAAAAGGTATGATGAATCCACTAATTCTCTTCCCTCTATGGGTTAAGGGCTTGTATCAGTAAATTACTATCGCCAAAAAATTCTTACAAAAAATATTTTCTGGCTTTAAATAAACTGCCAAAGGTTGATAACCCGTAAAAAAACAAATCAAATGTGGTATTCAAAGTTAACTGGCAACCCTAGCCTTAATATACCCTCTTTGTGGAGGGCTGCTAATTTGGAATAATTACATTTAGTTTGAGCACTAAAGTGTGTGGTACCCGGTAAGAATCTGACTTACTACCTACACTTTCGTATTTATAGAAGGAGCAAGTTGCAAGAGTTGTAAATATATTTTTTTTATCTCCCTTGAAAAGGAACTCTTGTTAACATGTGAAACTATTCCGGTGTTCTATGTAATTTGTTCTTCTGTTTTATCGAGCAAAGATCTTAAAAAGACTTGCTCTACTTTTTAAAAAGTAATTATTTCTTATGCCAATATAACTAGAATAAACGAGACAAGGTCTTATTTCATCTAAATGCTGGTTTACCTGTCTTACCAATTATTTGGGTTTGTATTTTTAAGTTATTGCTTTCTGTACATCCGTACCTTTGAAATTTTAGACAAAACTAAAAAGAAAAAAAAAAGCTTCATTCACTCATTGCATTTAAATTACTAAAGCAAATTCTTACTAATATCGACTTTGTTATATTTTGTATTTAAGTATAAAAGTAATAAAATGTATTTTTTTTTTTTTTTTTGGTAATGCAATAAACGAATAGTTAGGAAAGCAAGGATGAAAGTCTAAAAAGAAAACAAAAATACCTCCCCTGTAGTAGTCTTTCTGTTTTTAAAGCTAATAAAAATTACTACATAATCACAATCTACCAAAATGAAAATAATTTTGACAATTTAAGAAACTTTTTCAGATCAGCGGATATTGTGTGACGTAAATTTTTAATAAAGATTACAAAGTATAAATCAATTCCCCATCTCACCAAATAAATTATGATTCCGGCTGTAAATTTTAAAGTGTTTTCAAAATTAATTTTTTTTAGCAGTCAATCATGTTTTTATTTTTTTTACAACTTGCTCAAAGGTTGTTTTTTTTTAATAGTAACCCTGAAATAAATTACAACACTAAGTTCTTAAATTAAATTTAATTGTTCGTGATATTTTGATTATGTTTTAGTTTTACTTTTTTGTTTATGTTTAGTTTCTGTAATCAGATATGAAAAATATTTTTTAGAAGAATTCTTGGCAGATGCATTTCTTGCAGATTTTTTTATCCCACATAAAAAGCTATATTTGCCATTGTATTTATTTTGTTTTCATCGTCCAGAAAGTTTTGTTTTAAACTTTTTTTTAAAAAATGCGTTTTCCACCTTTCTTCTTTTACTGTAGTCTTGAATATCAATAAAATGAAAATTAATTCCAAGTAGTTAATATTAATTTCTTTTTAAAAAAAAGATATTTAAATTTTTAAGGCATAACATTGAGAAATGAAAATGCAACAAAAATATATTGACGAAAAAGCAGTATGACAACATATGATGGTGAATGTATTTCTCATTTGTTGCCAACTTAGGTCTTTTCAGTACATTTTAGCTCCTATAAATCGGTATTTAGCCCCTTTTCTTATTAATATTTATTACTTAAATAAGAAAATAATAATAAAAAAAAAGTGCTAGATGCTTATTTACAGGAGAAATGCAGTGAGATAAGAGCGACATTCAGCTTCAAAAAAGGATCTATTGGTAACACTGTTCCCATATAGCCTTGTTGGCTTAAAAAGTAAAGATGACTATGGTTAACTGTTACCGTTAACAGTTACTTTCCATGTAAGCAATAAGGAATTTTTTGGCAATGTTATTATAAAACGCCACACTTCCACAGTGATCGAAATAAATTTCTCAAGTTCCAGGAAACAATACTGCTGAATGAGAGAAATAAGCATGGCTGCATTATTTGTTAGGAAAAAAAAGAAAGAAATCTGATGTTTCTTTTGTTCCCTAAGTCTTTTTAGACACAAAAATGAAACATTGTTAAATCGCAACAGTAATAGATGAGAAAATAAAGCATTCGTACACTCTTATAGGACCTCTATAGGAGGGACCACACTTGTTAATGTTTACCAAAAATTAAGTACATTACAAGAAATTTATAATTTGAGCATTTAAATTTCACAAAAACCAACTCTTGAAACTTTAATTAATACCATTCTCTATTGGATTGGGTTAGGAAAATTAATGAGAAAGTGGAAAAAATTTTTGTGTAATGCATTTCACAAAATTTTTTGCCACTTTGTTATTAATTTTCCTAACATTGTCCTAAGGTCCATCCTGATCCAGAGTCATAGCACCTTTTAGGGTCCCCACTATGGGAAAATAGTGAACCCTCAAACTGAGGTCAAAATGCTATGAAAGTATAAAAACAGATTTTTATAGTAAAAATACCACCAATACATTTTTAAAAAAAATTACCAGCAATACATTTCACTTTTGACAAAAACCCTCTTTACAAAAATATGTCAATGAAACCTGATCTACAAACTGATTTCTTACAAAGAATGCATATTCTTTTCATATGAACCTATCCTAAAAATCTATAAGTCATTGAAGTTGATATGCCATAAAATAAACTAATAAACCAATCATATCTACCTAACTGACAAGGCAGTATAAACTGAAAAATCTTTCACAGATGTCAGTTAGACTACTGGCTACTATTTGTGCTAAATCCATTTTCTGGAGTTTCTTATGCTATAATAGTTATTTTGGGAAAAGCTCTGAAATTACAACTTTTTGTTAATAACTAGATGTGTCATCTGTCATCATAAGAACTAAATTTTTAAAAGCCTTTATGAGAATTGATAAGTAATGTCACATACCATGTGGCATTGGTAATAATGGAGAGACAAACATGCTTGAATATGTATTTGGTAGTATCTAAAGTCCCATTCAAACAAGTCTAGTAGTAGTTCATTGTGTGACAGAATTAAATAATAGTGTTTATTAGTCATAAATACTACTTCCAAGTTACACATAAAGAAGCAATCATGTAACCATATTCTTGGAGATTCTAAATGGGGCAATGTTTAACCTTCATGCCTGCAAAAAAACAGTGTGTCAAAAGGACAGTTATTCCTTTGACATTGCTATTACTGTATACACTTTTCACTCCTTTGGCAATGTTCATTGTTTTAAAAAATGATGATTAGAATTTTAATAAAACCCAAACATGAAAGTGAGTTTATACATTTTCTTTATTCTTAAGAATTGACAATAAAGATATTAAACACTTTATTTATTAGATGGCTTATTTACAAGAATAATTTTAATTTACAAAATATATGAATCAACTATAATAATAAATATTTATTAATTACCATTTTATAAAAAATAATTATGAAAAGTTTTTTATTCATAAATTTTATAAAAATACCTGTGAACAAGAAAATTTAAATAAACACAACAATGAGTAAATGTAATTATAAATTTTGAAAAAAGACTTTTTCCTGGCATTTCTTTCATTTGCTCTCACCACAAATTCTGTAAACTAGGTTGAGAGCATCTCTTTGGTCATCTTGAGTTTTGGAGGTGTACCTATGTACTATTGTATCATCAGCATAGATATTCACAAATGGTCAGTGTTTACATTTCGGCATATTATTCATGTAAAGTAGAAAGAGGGTTGAACAAGGAAGCGAATTTTGGGGGACGCGCACATTGACTGCTTGGGCCTTGGAGGATTGGCCATTAATAACTACATTAAGGGAGCTACTCATTAAGAAGGATTTTATAATTGAGAAAACACCTCCAATGCTTCCATAGCAAGAAAATTTGTGCAGTAACCCTTTATACCCCACATTTTCAAAGGCCTTTAAAATATCTAAAACTATTCATTGAGATTGGTAATAGTTCATGGTTCGATCGACAATGATAGAATGTAACTAGTTTGGTTTTTGAGATTTGAATGTAACCAGTCAGCTTTACCCCCATTGAGATGTGTTAGATAAGAGGAGTTAACAGCAGCTAAGGACTGGTCATCTAGAATTGTAGAGGTGCAACCATACACTGTTGTCTCATCAGCACATATATTCCAAAATGATCAGAGTATACTCTTAGACAGATCATTTATGTAAAGGAGAAAGTGGTTTGGACCAAGAAGTGAGCCTGGGGGGAGACGTCTGTGATGGGCAATAAAAAGTAGCTACTTTACAACAATATGGGGTTAATTTGCAGTGTAACACCTGCACTCTGCAATAAAAATTTCCAGAATATTTACATTTATGTGTAATCGTACATGCTCCTTTCGAATCTGGTTTGATAAATTTGATAAAATCTACCATTTTGGAGTTATCGATAGTGAAAGTTCAGCTTCATTTGTGTCGTGGGCAGCCATTACTGGCATTGTTTGCATACATTCACTGCAGAATAGCTATCAATATAGATATCATTGAGCAAACTGAGCATGCCTATGTAAATAGTTCTTGTGTGCAGTAATTGAGACAAATTTAGACAAGAAAGATCAGTTTTATGCTTAGCTTAGTCTTCTGCATTTAGCTTTCTGCAATGAATGAATCCAAACTTTCACTGTTGATAACTCCAAAACGGTAGATTTTATCAAATTTATTAAACCAGATTTGAATGGAGCATGTACAATTACACATAAATGTAAGTTTTGTGGAAATTTTTAATGCAAACTGAGCACAGGTGTTACACTGCAAATTAACCCAATATGGAATGCAAGAAAATTAATTATAACTATACCAAACGTTGATCTTCATCCCAAAAAGATGACACTGTATACATGATGGGATTAGAAGAGAATCTTCTAATATATTCCTTCTGGAGAATCAAATAATTGATTTAAACAATTTGATTTGGAAAAGATAGAATGCTTTACTGTTGCCTTCTCCAAGGTTTTGAATTCAGAATTTTCCTTTTCTTGGATTGATTGCCACCCAAGAGTAGAGAGTCTAATCAACCCTGCTTTTTAATCCATATCTGGTGGAAAAAGACAGACTTATGCTTTTCCCAAGGGTATTAGTGTAAAAGTGGATGCACCAGACAAAGTTGGAATTTGAATAAGGCTTGTCAAAAATATTGTTCCTAATTAGATCAACTGAAGACAGCAATTGAAGAAAAGTATCCAGAATTAGTTAAGAAGCAGGATAATACCAGACAGTATGTTTCATTGGTAACCCAGCAAAAACTTGTTACAGCTCTCGTCCATTGTATTGAACTTTCAAATTACCATTTATTTCAGTTGTTACAGAATTATCTTAATAAAAACAAATTTAAGTTCTGTGTAAGTCTACAAAAGTCAATGAGAGCAGTTCTATGCTGAGAAAGATAAACAACTCTGGGAAAACGAATTACAGTGTAGCCTGAAATCTGGCAGAAGATAGAACAAAATATATTCGATAAAATTAATGACAAAAATAAAAATTGTCTTTTATCTTGACACTTTTTTGTACATGTACCTTGCAAAATGTTGATGAATTGTTCATAGAAATAATGTGATATGAATGAAGATTAATTTGGACATTTTGATCTACCATAAAACTAAAATAGAATACTTTTGTGTTGGATTGCAATAAAAAAATTCTTAAAAATGTTTGTCTGCTATTTACATTATTCAGACTATTGTCCTCATCTTTGTTGCCATATTTATCATAACGTTTTAGCCATTGTACACTCCGGCTTTCTTCAGGTGATTGGAATGAACCCTTTATTTCGCTCGCTGGGGTAGGCTGTTCTAGTTCCATGTGCCATGTCTAATGGATGTCAGTTATCTCCTGTTAATTCACCTCTCCAAGTTCTCCACTGCCTTAACCAGGTATTGAACTTACAACTCTTTTGGTCCTGTCACTGGATCTAACAACACCTTTATCCACTGTGCCATGTGTTCTTAAGAAATATAAACAGATAATGTTTGTATGCTTGTGTCAAGTCAACTATATTCTTTATTCGTTCTTAAGATATTTACAATGTATCTGCTATATTTATTATTTATTTGATCTAACAATTATTATTTTTAGAGAGCAGAAATTGTGATAATGCATAAACTCAAAACTTTATGTATATAGATTTTGATATTTTCATTTCATTCCCTAGGTGGAAATAATTCCTTCAGTAAAAGATTTTTTGGGTACTAGTGTGACTAATTGACAGCAAGAAGGAATGTATTATAAGTATTATATTGTAAGTAATTTTCATTTAATCCAAGTACAATTTTGTAATTTAAATTTTTTTGTTAATAATTGAACAGTGTACAAATTATAAACACCCCCGAAAAGATATCCATATTTTATCCTCATTTTTTTTTTGTGTGTGTGTGTGTGTGTGTGTGCACATACACATATAGCTTTTATATGTGTGTTTTTGTGACACACCTTGGATGTTCTTGAGAGTCAAATTTGCTGAGAAATTAGAACATCATCGCTAGTGATAGTCGATCCCACAATCCAAGACACCTTGAAGAAAAGTAACTTTATGTGAATTCAAGCTAAAATGAAATATAAACCTCAGCCAAGTTTTGTGTGACATATATTTATCTCCTCTCTCTATACCTTTCTATTCCCCCCATCTCTCTCTCTTTCATTCTTTCTTTCTTTGCAGTTGTGTTTCTTTTCATAGCTACTTTCCATCCCTCCCTTTCACTTTGATCGTAGTTCACAGAGATGGAGAAAGAAGGGGATTGCTTTGTAGTTTGTCAGTGTAGTAGCTTTTTGCATATGGATGTGAATGGGGTCATGACTTCTGTGAGTCTCATGTCAAAAGTTTGCACACTGCCCCTCAATTGTTACACACAAAAAAAATTTATATATATGTGGCATATTATATTTAAGGATGTTTAATAATTTTCACATAACAAACACTGAATTATTTCCCTTACCTTTCTTTAACTTTGTCTCTTTTCCTGATATTGACATCAGCTATGAGAGTGCAGCAGAAGTAAATGTAAAAACATTGAGTGTCAGGTAATGTTTTGTGTCAAACTTAAGCTTTGGTTTCCGATGACATCCACAGGAAAAAAAAATGTTCGTTTTTCAGCACTTTTTGTCTTTCATAATTTTGTGTACCTATAGTAATATTGCAGAATTGATTAAGTAATATGTGTTAAAAATACTTTTGAGGGAGGAATATGTAAGGTTTTAATCTTGCACACTGTTTTTTTTAAAGTTTTTATCTTTTTTTATGCTGAGGTTAGTTAAACGGCAAGAAAAGGTTGCATAAATGTGCATGCCAGACAGGCAAAAAAGTGAAAAATTCATTTCTTTAAAGGATAGTTTTTATGCTTTTTTTTTACTTTAATTATATTCAAAAACTATAAAAATTAAATAAGGAGATAAAAGGAAAAAAAGCATCATACTCCTTGAAGTATTTTATGAACAATGGAATTGTGCATTCTTTGCACCAAATTGTCACTATTTTTTGCTTCTTTTCTCTTTGAGAAGTATGCCTGCATATGTAGCACTGTCTTTGGCTTGTTATTCCAGTTTTATTTTCAGGCAAATACTGCAGGAAAAAGACATGAACTCATGAATTCTAGAGTTGTCAATTTGTTATTTAGTCCTGAATCATGAATGAATGATACCTGTATCACTGGAAAATGTTTAAATCATTAATTGATGATATCTACAGATCTCTAATGATGGTATCTGCCATTTATGGGTTAATGTACCAATAATAAAAAATGAAAATCCTCTCTGACCTATTAATGTCACTTCTCATTTTTATTTTCAGGACAAAATTCTGTTCATTTTAAAAATATGGGGATTACTGGTTTTTTAAGCTGGTGTCTTAATCACCAGGGAGAATGTTGCGAATTCGTAAACCTTGTGGAAGTTGCCCGACAAAGGAAAGGAATTGAAATTTTGGTTGACTATTATTCATTCCAGCATTTTATTCTTGAAAAAATTTGGATCAATCTTGGGCGCTTGCGTAACAATTTGTACCTTCGCATTAGTGGGGGTGAGTACAAATCTATCGGCCTATATGTGAAAAAACTGATAAAAGACCTTCAATCTTTGGATATACGCCTTGTTTTTTTTATTGACAGTGCCAAAGGATGTTCCAAAGAGACCACAGATCATAAGTTGCCCAGTTGGGTGAAACGGCACCAGGAAGACATAAAAAAATTACGAGAAATCCTCGCTGTGTGCTATGAGCATAACTCAATAGAAAACTTACCTTCTTTCTCAAACATCCGACCTGTTTTACTGGAGGTTGTTTTTCTATCAGTGTTGAAAGACTGCGGATGTCGGATATTTCATATTACAACTGGAGAGGCTGATTGTGAAATTGCCAAGGAATTTTTGGAAAGAGAAAAAGCTTATGCCATCTTTAGTAATGATTCTGATTTCTGTATTTTTAAAGACTGCTGCTTTATTCCCAATCAGTTGTTTGATATTTGCAATGATCTTCAGCTTGATGCTTGTGAAGAGCTGCCAGATAAACCCCTACGGCTTGAAGTTGGAGTCATCTCATCAAAGCGAGTAATGGATACCCTAAAAGTAAGTAATTATATTTACATCAGGGAATAATTTTTATTATTAGGTATTTTTTGGACTTAGCCAACTTTACTGCCATGTGTATTCATGAAGTTGAAGTCATCAAAGAAAGTAAGTAATTATATCTACAGTAGAGAATATTTGTTTCTGTCTAGAATTCTGAGATGACAAAGTATCATTATTTATATTATTTACATTCAGACTAATGACTTCATTTATGTTGTGCTTTCTGCTTATCATAATCTAAATTGGAAATACAAGAAAGAATTTTAAATAAAATGATGAACTAAAAATTTTTTCACAATGATAAAAATTACTCTGAGCAGGATAATTAACAAGAATATTTTCCATGTAAAAATTATTCACAGTGATTTAACCAAAATTTTAAAATAAAGTTGTGGTTTTTATAAAAATTATTGTAAAATTTAATTTGTTTTTGTATATTTTTTAAAACCTTAGTATTAGTTTTGTTAAGTTATTTCGTAATCATTTTAATGTTGTCTTTATTATGCGGCTAACAACTATAATGATAATGTTAAAACATTTTGATCTCAAGACAGTATAAAATTTTGGGAGGATGATTAAAGTTGTTTTTTGAGAGGGTTCTGGGATGATGGTGAAAAAAAAAATTACTCAGGAGCACTGCCTGTCAGGACATTTTTTTTTTAACTAATATTCTACAAGGCCCAAGAGTCACTCAAGGTAGAGTGTTACTGAAGGAAGTTGTATGAGCAGTAAGAATAAGAGGTAAGAAGTGCAGTTTATGAGGATGTAAGAAAGATAAGTTAGCTCTGGATTTGAAGAGGTTAAAATTGTAGTGATCAAGAAAACATCTTTTTGAGAGTCAGTTCCACAAAGTAGTAATTCATAGGAAGAAGTTATTTGAATGGAACTTCCTTCTTACTAATGGAATACAGAGAAAATGAGGCTGGTTTGATCTAATGTATGTGGCATGGTGAGTCTTAGCTTTGAAGGTTAGAATTGATGGAACTAGGCAATGTAGCTTGTCACATTTTCCATGAAAGTAGCGACAGAGCAGTGAGAGGCTTGCGACATTTTGTCTGTGTGAAAGAGGTTGTAGGGTGGAAAATAATTTGTAACCCACAAGGATACATAGACACTTTTGAACTCTATCAAAACTGATAAGTGAAGACCAGGTAGCTCCAGCCTATATATAGCAGCAGTACTCCATTTTTGGACTGATTTGGCTCTTGTAAAAATAGAGCATAGAAGTCAGGTACTTACTGGAGTGGTACAAGAAACTGATCATACAATGTTTAATCACATTTAGCTTCATACTTTAAAAGGATATAACTCATGAAGAGCTGATAAAAGGTCCTCCATGAGTAGAGGTTGAAAGAATAACAGGTTGAAATGTTATGCGTTATTGCCCTGTTTGTTTTGGCAATTGAACGTCATCCTCCGTCAAACAGTGTAGGAAGCAGGGTGTTTAAGTGATCCCATTTTCTACCTGATAACTGTTTATGATTTGTCTGCAGTTCTTTGCTTTTATAATATATCTGTCATAAAACAGTAGTTAAAAAAAATTATCCACAGTTAAAGAATTATTTGCATATAATAGTGCTATTGTGTCATTGTGCTTATGTCAATTCCCAAATTTAAAAATCTATTTTTGATTTTCAATGCACAAAATACAGTGTGAATGCTAAAAATTTTGTGAAATTTCATTGTTAATCATTCAAAGCTAATTTTATGCATTACTGTTGTTGTAGTGTTGTAGGCCATGGTTAAATGTAAATAAATAGTAGAACTGCCCAACAAACAGAAATGACAAAGTTTGTAATAAGCAATAACAAGAAAAAGAAAAGGACAAGGCAAAAAATAATAATAATATAAAGCAAGAAAGCAAACAAACAATATATGCAAGGTAAATTAACAGACTAAGAATTGGGGTTGACATACAAGAGCAAATTTGGATAAATGAATGTAGAGTTCTGACTTTAAGATAAGACAGTCTGAGACTGAGTCATATGAAATCGAGAACCAATCTATTGGCTATGAAGAAATCCCAGCATACATTTGTGTACTTCTGCCTATAATTTAAGGAGGGGAAAGTGTTTTGCATCAATTCCCTAAAAGATTGGAACCAACAATTTTTTTTTTGTTTTTTGCAAGCCTAACACTCAAGAGAGGAGGGCTATGGCAATTTCTTTCATGAAGTGGGAAGTTAAAACAGACTCCCTAGACCAGAGATTTCCTGACTTTTTGTATTGGCGACTTACTTTTTAAAAATAAATAAATTTTTGCAAAATATTACTTAAGTTTTGTTAAACAAGCCAAATATATAATTAAAAAATATACATTTTTATTCACTGAAAAAGGTAGTTAATGTTTAAAGAATAATGGATAATTACGGTAAAGTTTTGCAAGGTAACAGATTGGAAAGCACTCCACTTATGGCAGAACATTGATAACATCTGTTCACACTTGTATTAAGAAAATGTTGGAATTTGATTTCTTCCTGTATGTGATTTGATGTCATCACATACGTAATCATTATTAATGAAAGTTTTGGCTTATTTGTTTAATAAATCCTACCTGTAATATCAGGATTTGCATAACTAGTTAAAAAAAAGACAATTAACTTTATTAAAAGATTTGTAAAATATGTTCTCATTTTTTTTCTTTTAACAAGAAAATTTGAGCTTATTTTTGTTTATATATTAAAATATTATTGCTGTCAAAGGTTTTTCCATATTTAGGTACCTGGTTTAAAAAAAAATATGCTTGGATTTTTTTTTATTTCCTCACTTTGTTTTAATATTTTATCTCATTCCAGTTCTCTGACCACAATATGTTGATTGAATTGAGCATTGTATCAGGAAATGATTTCACTTATCCATTCATGAAGATGGAAAACAAATTTCTGTTTCACTTGGATATTGAAGGTCAGAAATCCAAACTGGAAAATATTGTTGCCTGGGTACGTCGCTACAAAAGAATTGAGAATCATCCATTCCTTACTACAACAATGGTTAGTAATTTCAATGTTTATGTTGATCTGTATATATTCATAAAATTCTTTTTTCCATTATGTTGTATTACTACTTTTATGGGCCATATTCCTTCAAGACATGGGCGATCATGGCTCTCCACAACTTCCTATCTTAGCAATGTTTGTCTTTTTATTATCCCTCCTACTCCCTGTTCTGCCATTCATTTACACAAGCTTGCCATTTCTTTCTACTCCTCTTGCCTTCAATGTCTTGTGAGTGTCAAATTCTCCAAGCCTTTCTTCTTTATGTGCCCAGAAATTTCAGCTGTCTTTTTATGATTCAAGTACAAGTGTCTTTTATGTTTCAATTTTCCTTAAAACTTCCTTGTTGCTCACATGCTCTCTCCATTGTATTCTCAGCATCCTTCTGTAGAACTAGATCTCTGGTACCTAAAGTTTCTTCATTTGTGAAGAAATTGTCCAGTATTCACTACCATAGAGGGGGACTGATAGCAGCCGAGCACTCTTTTCTTTGTTTCTAATGAAATTTTCCTGTGGTACTACAGTTTTTAATTATCACTACAAAACTCAACAAAACTGGAAATTGGTATCTACTAAACCCGAATTATATATCTAATGCTTAAATAGTAAATACTGTGAAGTTTGAATAAATCTGTATACAGTTCTCCGTCCTCTGAAGTTTCAATTACTTTTGACTCACCATCGTCATAATTATGCCCAAACTCAAGAGTCATGATGATGACAATTTGGATATGCCAATGAGAAACTGCAAAAAATTAATAAGAAAAGAAAGAAATTCTATACTGATGTTTTTAAGAATGAATCTTCAATCCATCACATAACTTTTATGATATTTTTATAATTCATCTATTTTACTATTAGTGTTGTTAATATCTTATTGTGCCTAACTTATAAATTGAACTTTAACATAGGTATATAGGGAAAATGGCAAACTTGGATATTTGTGCTAGCAAAAGTGTCAAAAGGATGTTTTTTTTCTTTGACACTGCTATTATTTTAACTACCTTCACTCCTTGCAATGTTTATGATTTTAAGAAGCAATGATTAGAATTGTAATAAAACCTAAACATATGATGAATTGAATTTATACATTTTCTTTGTTCTTGAGAATCAACAATAAAAATAATAAACATTATTTATTTATTAGATTGTTTATTGAAATGGTTGACAAAACATTGGTTAATTACTAATTGATTGAAACTTTATAAAATTTCACAGTCCGTTCACATATTTTAATAATTTAATAAATGTTTATAAATTTATGAATAAAAAATTGTTTACATATTTATTTCTTTATAAATTGGTAAATGATAAATATTGCATTGTATTAGTTTTTAGAATGTTGTAAATATAAAATTATTCTTGTAAACAATCTAATTAATAAATAGTGTTTAATATTTTTGTTGTAAATTCTCAAGACCAAAAATATATGTATAAATTCACTTTCATCTTATGTTTGGGTTTTATTACAATTCTAATCATCGCTTTTTAAAACAATAAACATTGCCGAGGAGTGGACATAGTTAAAATAATAGTGATGTCAAGAGAAAAAAATTTACTTTTGACACAGTTTTTTTGTGAGCTTTCCATGTTAACCAGAAAAACATAGTATATTTAGAGCTTGGTACTACTGCAGAATTCTTTGGAACATATCCTCCCTTAGATAAGAGATAACTACAAAAATGATTATAATTCATCTCAGAAATTCAAACTTAAATATGTATTCATACACACAAACACATAACCCTTGTCCAAAACATCATTTTAAAACACAAAGGACAAATATCAAAGAATGTTGGTCGGTAATAAATTACTAAGATTAATTAGCAAAATGTGTGGCTGAGTTTTTTAATATTTCAGTGTTTATTCACATCTTCTGAATATTATGAATAGAAATTACTTGTTCTTTATTCCTAGATATACATGTAAATAGGATAAAATGAAATAAACACTTCAAAGACACTCTATTGTGGGCAGTATATTGGCCTGCAAACAGATACTGAATGATGAAAAACAAACTGAAGACTTGAATAAAAAATATATTGCCAAATTTATTTTTTTTAAAGAAAATACATCAGCAAAAATAAGGTTACAGTGCACTAGATAAAAAAAATATCTTTGCTTGCTCATGTAGAAGGTGAGAAGAGCGTTGTCCTGAGGAAAGCTTTGGTAGTTGTTGAAGAGCCTTGTCCTGTAAAGGACAGTTTTGTAGTTGCTGAAGAGTGTTGTCCTGAAATTTTTATTGAATATCATTGCTGCTGGTGAGGATAGTTTGAGCAGCGGGTGCTGGAGGCCTACTGAAGATGGCTGGAGCAGTGGCCAATGACAAGCTGGAAGTGATGATGATGGTGGTTGGCTGGCTAGCTAGCTGGAAGTGATGATGGTGGTTGGCTGGCTAGCTAGCTGGAACTGCTGCTGATGGTTGGAGCTGTGGGCTGGCTGCTGGAACAGATACTACACTTTGATGCTAGTCATCTGGCTGTTGGAAATATTACAGCTCATGTGGCACAAGGCCATAAAAAGGAAGAAAGGTTGGTTTTCACTGATTATCCTACACCTAGCTAATCTGGTCCATGACCCATTTATACATTACAATTTACTCGTACACCACAAGAACTCATTGCCATTCAATCAAACACATACCATAATACCACATATTCACAGGGATCCTACTAAAACAGCTATGACATGAAAATACATACATTTGTTTTTTGTTGTTTTTTTTCTGTCCCTTTTTTTTTTTTTTTTGTTATAAAAACTTTACATGAAATGAGACGGGGAGGGGATGTATCCAGGAACAAAAGTAAAATACAATGAAACATTCAAACTAAAATTAAAATATGTTAGTAGGACCCATCCACCCCACAGAAAAATAAGTGCACCCACTTTATTCAGCCGCTAAACAAAATCAAGCAGCTTACTTAGATCAGTTTTACAACAATCGCTGGTTAAGCTTTTTTCTTCCAATTGTTTAAAAAAAAAAAAATGAGTGTCAACAGGATATGACAACTCTGTGAAAAATAATTTATGACAAAAGTTAGTAGTACTGAATCTACCGCTGTCAAGTCTTCTTGACTTTGTGTTCCAAGAGAAGTCTTTTGGAGGATTTGATGAATTACTGTTTGAATGGCTTTCTGAAAATGCACTTGAAATCTCAAATTTCATCAAATTAAAAGACTTGGGGATTGTTTATGTGAATTATTAGGCAAGATTAGGAGTCAGGAAAAATTTTATGTGTCTTGCAAAAAATACTAATCTTTATGCAGAAATATTGATGATATTGTTTAAAGATTTTTATAATATTTGTCATGATAGCACTGATATTGATTCTAAAACACAGTAAAAATTCAATTGTAATACTAAAAACATTTTACCAATATACAATATATAAATTTATAATCCACGGTGGTCAGATGAGTTGAAATAATGATATTTTATCCTTTGTTCTACTTTTCTCCCATTGTACAGGTCTTATTTCTAGTCAAATTCTGCAACGATGTTTAGTCATTAGAATTCTAATGAGTTTAGTTATGTAGCTTCTCAAGCTGATTATCCAATGGAATTTGCATCTGGTAATTTTAGCAATGCTCTGATGATAGATCTACTGATGTCTTCTGGGATTTTGCCATTATCATATTTGTCATTGATTATTTCAGTAACATTATCAATTTTAAAATTGTCTAAGGCTGACACCATCTCTGTTACTGATCCTGTGGCTTTCTGTTCATCTTGGCTAGTGTCAATTTTACCTCAGATTTTAATGGTATGAGTCCTTCCATGTTTTTATGTATGGTAGGTTTTTCTCCTCTGTTGTTCTGAAAGAGCTTTCTGATGTATTTTTTTTTTTTTACTTTTTTAATATCTTCTTCATTTATAAATGTTCCCTTTTAAGATTGTCCTGCTATATCTTTTATTTTTTATGTATGTCTGCCATGTCTATGTTCTGTTGTGTTTCTATCTTTGCACAGTTCTCATTGAGTCATACATCTTTTGCTTGCTTGCATTTCTTTCTCATATCTTTGCTTAATATCCTATATTCTCTGTGATTCCTTGGCATTATCTGCCGTCTCTTTTTCATTAGTTACACAATTTCACCTATTATCTGCTTTTTTTTATATTTGTTTCTTTCCCCTTGGGATGACCTCTCCTGCTGATGTCACAAGTTCTTCCTTTAAGGTGGTTTACTTTGAGTTACTAACCTCTTATAAAGTTTTATATTTGTTCTTCATATTAGATCTGTGTAAAAGTTCATAGTGCTATTCTTGATTGGGCAAGAACTTTTAAGTAATTGATTGTGCATACTTTTGTATTAGTAGTAATTTTATTTTGAATTTTTATTATTAAATGAAGAATTTTCAATTATTCATTTTTGACTTTCAACTTTTATTTGCTTTTTATTGCAATTACTCTGCCATCACGAATTAAGTGCATTGACAAGGAAGGCAGTTATTTAAGAAAAAATATTTGTTTGGTAAAAGAAATGTTTTTTTTCATTAAACTTTATCACCCATGTACTGAAAGAACACAGCACATGAAAGAAGAAAACAGTCTTAATAATGAACTAATGTAAAATATGTTGTTTGGTGCTGTTATAACAGTAAAAAATGAAATATTTCAATGAATAATAAACTAAATTCCAGAAGACTAAAATAATACATCTTGAAATGTTTCATTGAAATATCTAGACACAGTGAACAATTGAACATTGTCCATACAAACATAATGACTTTATGCAAATAGTGACCACCAGTGTTTGTTACATGTCTGATATCCTGATTTAAAACCCTCTTAATTTTTTGAAGTTTTACTTTATCAAGCAAACTGCTAAAAGAGTTATTGACTTATTAGTCAATACCACCAACGCTAACTTCATTCACAGGTAAATTACCAGTAGTAAATTGACCTATTTACCATATGTTATTGATATTAGTGAAATAAATGAGTAATTATTATTAAAACATTTTATTCTTCTATTATGCTAAATAACAGGGCATTATTTAACCTTTGTGCTTGCAAAAAAACAGTGTTTCAAAAAAAACGGTTATTCCCTTGACACTGCTATTACTGTATACATTTTTAACTCCCTCAGCAATGTTTTATTTACAAGATTATAAAAATACATGAATCAGGTACAATGCAATATTTATTATAAAGATTTATTACTTATTTATTTATCATTTTATAAAGAAATAAATTTGAAAAGAAATTTATAAAACAAATTACAAAATTATTAAAATATGTAAGAGGAAGAGATATTCTCAACCTATTTTAGTGAATTTAGGCAGCAAGAGCAAATGAAAGAAATACCCGGAAAATATATCTTTCCAAATTTATAATTACAGTTACTCATTGACATGTTTATTTAAATTTTCTTGTTCACAGACATTTTTATAAATTTATGAATAAAAAATTTCTTTTCATATTTATTTGTTTATAAAATAGTAAAATAATATTTCATTATAGTTGATTTACCTATTTTTATAATCTTGTAAATAAGCAATAAAATAAAATTATTCTTGCAAATAAGTAATCTAATAAATGGTGTTTAACATCTTTGTTGTCAATTCTCAAGAATAAAGAAAATGTATAAATCCACTTTCATAAGTTTGGGTTTTATTAAAATTCTGATCACTTTTTAAAACAATAAACATTGTTGAGGGAGTCAAAAGTGTATACAATAATAGCAGTGTCAAGGGAATAACAATCCTTTTGACACACCATTTTTTTTGTGTGTGCACAAAGGTTAAACATTGCCAATAATAGTTTATACAGTTTAATATCTAGAAACCTAAATAATTTTCTAGTATCAGTGCTTTCCTTTTATTTAGGTATAGGCTTATAAGAAATATGATATAGGTTCGCCTATCATCTGGTTCACACTCCTTGGTTTTTTGAATAGGAGTGTAGATGCATCCTTTGTTTCCTGTTTAAGATTTGGTTTCTGGTTACTTCCATAGTATTTTCATTCTCTTTCACTCCCTTGCATCTTAGTGGCTTGGGATGAAATGATTAAAACAAAAAAAAAAATTTCCAGTTTAAAGATTTAGTGTTAATTTGCAGTGTTTACTTTTAGAACATAAAATGGATGCTTCTTTTTCCAAAATGAAAGCAAAAAATCACTACCCCCGTTTTAAAATGTTTGCTAAAAATCAGGGAATTATCAGATTCGAATTTAATTTTCAGTACTTATTCATTAACAAATGAATTGTTTACTGAACAGGTTATTTTATTGGAAAACTTTGTGGAAATATTTTTTGTAGGGAGTCTGTTTCCCTACAACCTTTTTGATGTCTCATGTGTACTTTTTTAATTTGGGTGGGTGGGTGTTGGGTACAGTTATATAAAGAAAAATCCCTGAAGATATCATTTCAGTAAAAAAATTTATGCAATATCAAGTATGAATATATGGAAATTTGTCCTGTATTTTAGCAAAAATAATACAATAAAACTCAAAAAATTAATATTTCTGACAGGTGGTGCTTGCATAATTTAATAAAACACATTTTCTTTTAGATTGGACAGAAAAAAATCTACACTTCATATTTATTTTTTTTAAAAATTGTATTTCAGTGCAATTTTGAAATTCATCCTGTTCATCACAAGATTTTCTTTTTTTATTAAATAAAGACATGATTGAAGTATCAAAAATTGTAAAGTTTTATGCTGTTTTTGAGCATGAACTTTTTTTTAAAATAATTTAATTTATAGAGTAATGAGATATATGATAATTCAATAACTCTTAAATTCAGCACATTTAAAAATAAACACATTGGGTGAAATTAGATATTTTATGACATCAAATAGGTAAAAAAATAATGAAAAATAAAAGCAATGTTTAAAGAAGGCATTTAAATTATTTAAAATGTATTGTTCAGGGTATTTTTTTAGGAAGTCCATGGCTGTACCTAGAAAAAAATATCATCTTAAATACTGGAGTGAACAGTATTTTTTTTTAAATTTATCATGAAACGTCTATTAGTCTAGAACAGGAGTTCTCAACCAAAGACAATTCCTTCCCCAACCTCACCACCACCACCAGAGGGAAATTTCAGTGTTTCAGAAGGAGGAAGGGAAAATCTTTTAATTTTGGTTATTGAATATCCTGGTATTCTACTGAACAATTTGTTTATTGAAGTATGCTTCAGTTTATTTATTTAATAATTAGTTATGAATTACAAACAAATTACTACACAGGTATTCAGGTTTAAAAATCCATCAACATTTCCTATTGCTACTAAATTCTTAAAACTCCTCTATAAAAATAATCCATGTAAATGTATAAGTATTAATACAGAAAAAAAACAAAGATTTTCAATAATATATGGATATTATTTAGAATGCACCTTTCGAGTCGGACAATCTTGGAAAGGAAGCAGAATGGCATTCTAACTTATGGTTAAAAAGGTGCATTGGGCAAAATAGGTTGAGAAACTCTGGTCTAGAAGAAAAATGACATTACATGACCCTCATAGGTGTAAATGAAGCACACAAAACTTAATCTTTTCCTTTTAATTTCAGAAACACAATCCCAGCTTTGCTTCAGCTGTCCAACACTCACGAGATTTCTACAACCTGAGCATAGATCCCAATTTTGTCTTCAATGAACAGCCAACTACTAACCGAGGGTTCTTAAAGAAAGTGATTCATGAAAGAATTGAAAGTGGCAATCTTAGTAGTCACATCCTGGGAATACATAATCGGTTTTATTGGCACCGAATGCTTGTAGAGGACATTGATCACTATAAGCCTGGCATTGAGCATCTCCTCTCAGGCCTCCGTTCTTGTATCTATCGCATGCTGCTGCCCCTTGATGAACACACTGTTGTTGAGTACGGACAAGGAAGAAGCTTTGATATCATACCAGCCACAGTAAGTTGAAATTTTAATACCATTTAAAGATTTACAAACTTCCCTAATGTTGGAATGAAGTTACAGGCTTCACTCACTGCGTACAACAATCCCCCTCCCTTAATTTACATTTAATATCATAGCATTACAGTGTTAGGCTAGATATGAGAACTGATAGTCTACAACATCTGGGTAAATATTAGAAAACCTCAATAGTTCACAGGCTTACAGCCATATCACATTGAAACAACAGTTTCTGTATGATCACCTAAGTTAAGCAATGTCATACTTGGTCAGTACTTAGATGGGTGGCAGTTTGGGAATACCAGGTGCTGTAAGCTTGGATATGCAGGTGGTGTAATGAATGATGGCTTGAAAGTGCTAATTGGAGAGCCAAGTTCCAATTCCAGTTGGGTTCGTTATATTCTCTTATGTGCAATTACTGTTGGAAAAGGTATTAATCCACCTCTTCTCCCTTCCAGCTATGAGTTAATTAGTAAAACTTGTATCACTAAGTCAATATTCATGCCAAAAAATTCTTACAATCTAAAAAAATATTTTCTTGCTTTAAATAACCTGCAAAAGGTAGATGTGCCATTGAAAACAAATCATCCAATTACAGGGGTTCACAAAACTTTTCTGACACATAGCATACTTTGGCCCTCACTGCCCAGTTTAGCATTTTCTTTCTTTGATGTTTTGGAAGTCCACTTCACTATGCTTTCTAATTAATCTATCTAGATCCATGTCTTCTTTCAACTTTAATCTCTTGAGGTTCTTGCTGACACTTTCTCTCTAAATGTTCTTTGGCTGTTCTTAGCCATGGCTTCCCTCAATGCTCAACTTAGTATGCTGCTTCAATCCTGAATTGTTCTGTTGTATATGTCATCGTATTTAGGCACACTTTTGGAATGTGTAAATAAAAAAAAAATATTTTAGCACATTTTGTACATAAACTTTATGCAACCAACTACGAAACTGTGGGCCTGTTACAATGCAAACACTCAACTCAGACTGTTTTCATGTACTTGTTACCCTCCTGTTCCAACCTAACAACATCTCAGATTGTTTTCATGTACTTGTTACCCTCCCGTTCCAACCTAACAACACCTCAGACTGTTTTCATGTACTTGTTACCCTCCCGTTCCAACCTAACAACACCTCAGATTGTTTTCATGTACTTGTTACCCTCCCGTTCCAACCTAACAACACCTCAGATTGTTTTCATGTACTTGTTACCCTCCTGTTCCAACCTAACAACACCATAAGTAGAACCAAACATTTTCTCCATTTGTAGCTGACAGTTATATATACAAATATTATTATGAATTTCACTTTGGATTTTTCTTTTTGAAATCTTGCTCTTTTGTGGTACACCTAACTTCTGAGGGTATCCCAGTATGCCATGGCAAACGGTTTGAGAAGCACCACCAGCCTACCAGATAACTTAACTTCACATATTAGACCTTATTTTAAAGATATTTGGGGGTGGGAATAAAGGTGGAATCTTATAAGATCAATTAATAATTCTTGTATAAATTTCTATGTGTTGGTTTGCAAATTTAGTAACTGATATTATCAGGCAAGTGTATGCACAATGCCATATAAAATGTATATTTTAAAGGTGATTTATTTTTAGATGGTTGCTTATTACAACTCATTAGCATTCCAGCATTCAGCCTCCTATTTACAATACCTGCAAATTATCTGCATTGTAATATCTGAAACATTTTCATAACATATATTTGATATACATTTGTGTATCTTAAAAGATAGACATTAAGAAAGAGAATGTACATCAATAAGTCTATAGCTTCATAATGAAAACAATGTTCATTTTTCCCCAACAAATATTTAATCACATAGACTGAACATTATACAATATTTAGTTTACATTATTAAATGTTTAAGACCAACATTCTTATTCAAAATAACTGTGTAGAGTGAGTGGTCATGGTTAAATGTAAATAAATGGTAGAACTTGTCAATAAACAGAACTGACAAAGTTCATAATAAGCAATAAAAAGAAAAGAACAGGGCAAAAATAATACTAAACAAACAATATACACAAGGCAAAATAACAGTAAAAATGCAAAAAGGTTGACAAACTAAGAATGGTGTTAAGACAGAAGAGGGCATACAGACAAGTGATCACAGCATTCTGACCTCAAGACAAGAAGGAACAGAACTAAGTCAAATGACACTGAGAAGTGGCCTATTTCATTGACTGGGGAGAAATCCCAGCATGCATCTGTGTTTTGGCTATACATTCAGGGAGGGGGAGATCTTTGCTGTCATCCCCATGGAATTACAACCAACAATTAGTAAAAAAAAAATAAATAAATAAAATAAAATGGAAATAATCCCTAGTCTTTGTCAGCACTAAAAGTGTTGCAACAAATGACTAAATGGTTACACATAAAAACCATATTCTTATTTAGTGATATGGGGAGCAGTCTGGAATTTTACAAGTAGTAATAATATACATCTTGAAAGAAAAAGAAGTGAATGAATGACTGAATGAAACTATCATAAAAGAAAGAACCAATAGCATATAATAGGCATCTTTTTACCTCACAAGATAAAATGTTAGCACCCAGTTTGGTCTAAGTTCAGTCCTTTGGCAGTGAGTGTCCTCACCAGGGCACAGACTTGGGCAAATGGTATATGGAAGTTGTGTGCTGCCCAGATTACATTGCACCCCTCTTGGCTGTACCAACTAGATCCAAAGGAATACAGAGCATTTCATTTGGGGCTGGCTATGAACTTACTGATCTACTCACATAGATTATGTCAACAATATATCAATAGCCCATAAATAGGGATAAAATGAAGAAATGCCTACAGCATAACAAACACCCATGTTTAATATGAGTATGTTTTAATAAAATCAATAAAAAAAAGATCTTATTTCTCACTGCAAATAAAAGAACTTCTGTCTATTTGCCATCAAAGCACATATTTTTTTTGTTCTTAAGCAACTACCACTCACTATACTATGATTCATTTCACTTGCTGCATGGCTTGAGCCTTTGAAACAGTGTGTCTGATTTATAATATAAACATATTTGATGCATTCTAATATTTACATACATTATTGACTGGGGCATTGGTTCTAATCTCTCTGGGAATGACTGCTAAATTCATGCCCTCCTTAAATTTATAGACAAATCCTACAAATGCATGCTGGGATTTCTTCTTAACCAATAAAAATGGACAAATTCTCAGACTCATCCTCCTTATTTTTGTTCTTCATTGTCTTGAAGTCAGAACACTATATTCACTTGACTGTATCCCTTTTGCATGTGAACACAATTCTTACTTTGTTGCTTAGCCTAGTTTTGACTTGCATATATATTGTTTGCTTAGTATTATTTTGATGTCCTTTTTCCTTTTTTTTTTTTTTTTGGTTTATTGAGAATTTTGTCAATTCTGCTTGTTGAGAATTTTGTAAGTTACACTTAACTGTATCCAATTACTCCAGAGGTTATGAGTCCAGAAATAGACTCTGTTTCAATGGCAAGAGGGGGTGTATCTTATAAGACTATAACTACTGTATTGGTATGACTGCTTTTTATCATCAAAAACGAGTGTTACATTAAAATAATTTTTGTTCAATGCAAAGTATGTTTTGTTGGTTAAAAGGAATCCTGTAACAAACTCATGAGTATGATTATCTAAGATAAAGGCAGTTTAATAAGAAATAAAACTATTTCTCTTTCCTTCCAGACAAGCTTGCCTCTTAACTCTAACACAATGTGTATATTCATACATTATTGACTATGTTTTCTTTCATTTGATTTTTGTTGCTTTATATCAAAAAACTTGGTCATTTTTAAATTTTATGACTGCTGAGTAAGTAGAAATAAATAACCTCTGAGATTCGATCTCACATCCTGTATCCACATGAGCCCATACCAAGGCATTCGTAGACTGTAAATGCAATCTGTCATGATAAGAAACAAAAACAAAAAAATAAGATAAAAGCAAAAGTCGTCCAGAATTAATGACAGTCTGCATTTATGTGATAATTGTTGCTGTTATTTGATACTTTCTTCATTTAGGTTCCTGTTGCTCATTGGAAATGGATTCCTCAGTTGGATCAAGTTGATTCCCAAAAGATCTTTGAAAATCTGAGAACATTTCACAAAATCATGGTGCAGTTGGAACCTGGATTACGCACTGGAAGTAAGTATGTTCTGTTGTGGATACATTGCATATGTGTCATCAATTGTGGGGAGAGTTAGAAGAATTTTATCTTTCTTAAGTCTGATTCATGTTTTAGAATTTATGGAAACCTTAAAGATGTGACCAAAATTATATTTTGACACTATTTAAATTGACTAGTCTGCTTGCTTGTAAAAAAATTTAGAAAAGATATTTTTTTTAACAATTTTTGTTGATTAGCATTCACTAGGCCTTCCTCAAACCACGATCAAAATCTAAAAATATTGAATTTTTTGTCATTTCAGAAGTGTTCTGTTATAAATACAGTGTCAAATCAATCCTTGACTTCTTAAAGAGTTATCTGTACTTAGTTTTTATTTTCAAATGTCAAATTTGAAACTCTGCTTACATTATTGATATCTGCATACTATTATGAATTGGGTAAAGGACAACGTCAGTAGTATACATTTATCAATGACATAAGTATAAACCATAGATGGGCTCTGTGGGTGTTGAACAAACACACATGTACCTGAGTAGGTGTCTGCAAAAGGGATTGGCTAGACATCCTAACAGATAAGGGTGTTCAGATAACGAAAGTAACCAGCCATTATATATATAAATAAATTTTATAACAATAAAAATTGTCAAAGACACAAACATTATTAAACACAGTGTTCAATGTAAAATACAAAATACAGAACAATATACAATATAAAAAAAATACCCCCAGGAAAAGTAACCTCTTTTGGAAAATATTCTGTCCACCACTGCCTCCAAAATTACATCACAACACTCACTAGTTCTATGAAACTCATCATTTGTTGTTACCTACCCTGATGTTGAAGTTAAAAACTTGGGCCATATTTCTTTTACTTTTCTTCCAAAATAAATTTTGAACACCTTCCTACAGAATTTCCTCCTTGTCTGAGAAGGATTATTTGTAATTTGGAAAAGTCAATCAGTAAAATTAATTGACACAAAGTGTCTGTTGTTTTTACTAATGTATGTGGGAGTGCTGAAAAGTTTTTGGTCTGAACAACTTCCCAAAATATGACCAAATGATCAGACATCAGAATTTGGCGGGGAAAGACTTATTGGTTGGGCCAACAATTTTTCAGTACCTTACACATGTGCAAACACCATAAACAAACAAAATATTGCAAACTTTTTGCCAAAATGGAATCTGCTCATTAGTTTTTATCATTTTATTTTGTTTGTTTACTATTAATGGTTCATTTCTTAATATTGAATACTTTACTTACAAAGACTGCTTGCCTTAAAGCCATCCTCCAATAATGCACTGGTCAACCATCTTTTTTGGTGAAATACAATCTTTGTTTTTATACACACGCACACACAAATACAGTTACTGCCTGATGAAACCATTCTGGTAGAACGCATAGTAGCATAAAGGTCAGTGTTTCAAATAATTTATATTTTAAACTGCCCTACATTTTCATTTTTTGAAAATTGTATTGAGCACTCTCTTAATTTAACTGTTTTTTTTTGTTTTTTTTCGGCAAATATAACTTTTGCCAGAGATTGAATTTATAAAGTATGTGTGTGTATATATATTTCATCCATTCACTTTTATTTGTATGTTTTTTTTTTTTATTTTATGTTTTTCCTGTTATAGATTGGCCTCAGAATTGGATTAAACGCTATGGTCGAAGGAATGGATTCCTGTTTTATTGTCTCCGCTATTTTCTGCTTCTAAACTGGCAGCGCAATATTTGGATCTCAGAAGATGAGTTTCTCGCCCTATTTTCTTTGGTGTTTGCCACCAAGAATGAGATTGAATACCAGGAAGTGGCCATCCCACCCTCTGCTAGGTGCATTACCATTTACAATTGGTTCCAGGTAATTCATCTACATTTAATATTATTTTTTAAAATTTTATTTTGTTCCTTAAAAATGCATTGGCCAAAACACTTGAGAAAGGCTAGCAACTTAATGGCATTTAAAAGTTTAACTTTAAAGTCCCATTCAGTTTCTGTTGTATCCAGAGCAAAAGTTGAGCTCCCATTTTTTTTTTTTTACCTTTACAGTTATGACACTCCATGTCACTTCCACAGTTGAATGAAATGGATGGAGAAAGCTTTTTTTTCCAAAGAATTGATAATTTGGGAGAACAGACTCCTGTATGAATGCTTTCTTGAACATACCAATGTGCAATATTTAATATATTAAGTCATTTTCTCTTCCATTACCTGAGCAGATAAAGTATTTCTAGAAAAAGTGAATTTTCTATGTTTTCGCTCATGCATATTTTTCTCTTGTCATAGTATACTAATAAAACAATCATAATCAAGTACTGGGAGAAATGGATTCATGTGTTTTAAAGGTTATTTACATAATGATACAAGCAAAGTCTCTGTAAGATTTCAGACACGATGCACTCCATTTCCTGTACCATAACCATCATGCCACCATATCTTTTTTTTTTCTTTTGCACATGTCATAAAAGTAATTTCTAAAAATATGCTTTTTTTGAATAATTATTTGGAAGAAATGTTGGCAATGTTTAAACTTCATGCCTGCAAAAAAAAAAAACTGTATCAAAAGGACAGTTATTTCCTTAACATCACTATTACTGTATACATTTTTTAATCTTTCAGCAATGTCTATTTACAAGATTATAAAAATATGTGATCCGAGTATAATGAAATATTTATTATTTACCTTTTATAAAGAAATAAATTTCAAAAGTAATATTTTTATTCAAAAATTTATAAAAAAAAATTACAAAATAATCAAAATACATAAACCAACTACAATGCAATATTTTTTATTTACCATTTTATAAATAACTATGAAAACAAGTTTTTTTATTCAATCTAATAAAAAATATATTTTTCTTGTCAATTCTCATGAATAAAGAAAATGTATAAATTTTCATGTCTGGGTTTTATTAAAATTCTAATCATCACTTTTTAAAAACAATATTGCCAAGGGAGTCAAAAGTGTATACAGTAATAACAGTGTCAAGAGAATAACCATTCTTTTGACACACTATTTAGGTATAAATTATAAATTTCGTATAGGTTACATTTTATTACACAAGGAGACCTACCAAACTCCATTCACAACATACTCATTGATAATACAAATATAATAGCCTCATCTACATGTAAAAAAAGCTAAAAATAATAGAAGCATTATTAATAAAAAAGAAAAAGCCGGCACTCAATTACATCAACTATGAACACAGCCACAATGTGCTGACCATGTTTGGAAAATAAAACATTCCTATAACTCTAGGTACATACATAAAACAATCTATACATTCATTTAAAAGTAAAAATAAAATCATCTTTGATAACAGCTAAAAGTATAACCGAAAGTGCTCAAATACAGAACATTCAATGTCTACATAATTTATGTCCAGAAAAGAAGAAAATTATAAGAACACAAGAAAAATTAAATTAAAAACTAAACCACAGTACCTTGTTAGTTGTTTTTAATTAAACTTGTATAAAAGAGGGATTGCTGCCCAAATACGTAATATGCCATATATACTTGCATATCATACAACTTTTGAAGACCTAATTTTAAAGATAATTTTAAGGGGATCACATCATACACAAGATATAAAATTAGAGTATGTACTGCTGGCCCTGAATACGCCATTGACTAAACTATATATCCATTTACTGTAATCAAATTAGATTCAAAATTAGGTCTTGAAAGGTTGCATGATATGCAAATGTGTGTATATTTTTTATATATAATACTTTATTTTAGGGTATTACATCAAAATGTAAAAAAAAAGGCTACCTAATGTGTTAATATGTATCAAAACGATTGCATTTTTTGATAAAATAAAGAATATTGGTTTACTTTTATATTGAGCCCTCTTTGTTGTTACAAATGGCGGAATTGGACTCCATTTGTTCTTTTAGTTGGTTGGAATGACAAACTGAACCCTTTATTTCGCTCATTGCTAGTTCCACATCTAATGGATATCTCCTGTTAATTCACCTCTCCAAGTTCTCCACTGCCTTAACCAGGTATTTGGGTCCTGTCACTGGATCTAACCAACACCTTTATCCACTGTGCCATGCATCCTTAAGAACATCTGTCTATGAATTTTTGGAACTTATAAACTTAATGTCTTCAGTAACCATTTTTTTACCAGTGCTCAAATTGCAATTTTGCTATTATCATTCCATGTTTTTTTATCAGAGCTCATATTGCAATTTTCATTGTTGTTATTATTGCTTTTTCTCTGGTACTCCTTATTACTGGTTACCATATTGTGATAAATATGGCAACAAAGATGAGGACAATAGTCTGAATAATGTAAATAGTGTACATAATACCTCATCTCAGAAATATAGGCAGATACATGTAAAAGGTTTATCACTTAACTGTTAACATCAGCATCCCAACTTGAGGGTTTCATAGATAAACCCATCCATCCACTCATCAGTGGGTATCAGTAACTGATTTATTATGGAATATATAAAAATATTTATAGGTTTTTCTTGAAAATATTTTTATATAGAATCAGAAAAGGAAAATTTCCCTTGGTTTTTTTATTTTTTTTTATTTTTTTAATTTAAATTAATTTTCCTAAATTTTCTCTACTTTCTTTTTCAGGACATCTATCGGTATGCTTATGTATTTTTGGGCAGTCTACTTTATCTTCAGCACGAGTTTCCCAAACCAGAAGAAATATTTTCTGGATCAGTTTGGGTTGTCTACCACCGAAGTTGTGATATTAATTGTGAGTACTTTTCTGATATTATTAATGCCATCTCCTCAATTCTATTTTCTGTAGATGGTCAAACAAAATAATGTGGAAACTGACAAAAGATGAAAAAAAGAACAGAAAACTCAAAACAATTGTTTTATTTATTTGTAAGAATATCAGTTCTTGTATTATTTTATTGTTTGTGGATGTGCGTTGTAATGAAATAGATATTTGCTTGGAATGAGAAATTGTAGAGCCAAGTTCGAGTTCCAGTTGGGTTTGTTGCATTCACTTATATGCAAATACCCTGGTGAAAAGGCATGAATCCATCTCTTTTCACCACCAGGATTCCTCAATTTGTATGTCATGTTCTGTTCCTTGGAAACATCCCACTTGCCATCAATATCACATACAACAATGGATTCAGGTTTCAAGATGTCTTTGTCTCATTTTGCAGGGTGTTTCCATTTCAAATGAGATGATTTCTGAAGTCTCTGATGGTATTCCATTGTGTATGTGCCATCAGAATGGAAGAACTGATTTGGAATGAAGGAAGAAATTGTTCTGCATCCTTGTCAGCTGGCAATGTAACGTATTCGGATGTGGCATTATTGCTTGAAAGAAGTGTACATAAATTCAGCAACTGTTCATGATTAATATTGTTGATCCCGAACAAATCTGGGTGTTGAAGGAGATCAGATTTGTGAGAGACTTGATATGAACAGTCTTTTCAACATTATCACGATTTGCCTTCAGAATATCATGAAGCTCTTCAGCACTGGTTGCTGGCCCATTCCAAGTTTTGCAAAGTTGAAGATATTTTTGGATATACCCTGATTGTTTCTTTCCTTTCTCAATTTTCGCCATGATTTTCAATTTGAGAAGTTCTTTCTGGTCAGCTACCCACTCATTTTCCATGTTGTTCAAAAGATTAACAATTGAAATGTAGCTTTTGGTTGGTGCGTTGTGGAATGTCTGTCATTGGTACAGTTACAATTCCACTTGGCTACTGGTGCCCTTTTCCCCAAACACAGAGAGGTGATGTTCTGAATCAAGGTTATTTATTGGCAAACCAGCTCACTCTTTTGTCAGATGTAATTGAGTTGCATGAGCAGATTTATCTATGTGCTTACCAAAGCCATATTCCTTCCCTGCTTGTCTTTCCAGAACTTCAATAGCAGCAACATACATCATTTTTAAAATTTGATGCACTATTTTTGTGGTTGGTTGACATGAGGGTAATTAATAACTTAAGAAAATGTAATGTTCAATTCAATTAATTTCAACTGTAAATTTGACAGACATCATGATCTGAAAAATTTATTCAAATGGCCCTGGAAAAGTTGAAACATGTCATCTCGGTTCTGAGTATTGAAAATTTGAACATGAAACCAAATCAACAGTCACTAAATCAATTCACAATACACACCTTCACAAATGACAAAAAAAAACAATCTGATCCTTGATTATATTTACATTCAACATCATCTTCCTGTTTTTACCAAATTTTTCAAAACTTTCCTGTTTGAATGCAACATGTCCCTGAAACTTTTCCTGTTCTGGCCTCTAAAATGTGACATAGATTTTAATTTTGACACAGTAGAAGTATGATGAGCCATACAAATAGCACCTACCTGGCTCTAAAGTGGTTTTGTGCCTTCCTTACACACTGTGTGACCTAAATATTGTAGTTTCTGTTTAAGGAGCTGACACTTGGCACCATTTAATTTCACATTATATTCAATAAAATGAGCAAACACTGCCTTTAAGACCTGGATTAAGTATGAATCATTATCAAATTTTCCTGTTGTAAGTCACAACAATTTACTTACATTCAGGGACAGTTATGTTCTTATATCACTATTTTCTGGTTTCAGTGAGGGACAAAATCACATATTTCAGTTTTTAGAGCTGCAATTTATCAAAAATGCCTTAAATTGAAAAGTTTTATCAGATTGACTTTTCAGTTTTATATTTGAAAAAATTGAGTATGTGCAGAATTTGAACATGGTCTCTGATACACACCCCCTACCTCTAGTATCATAATATTTACATCAAATATATGTTTTCTTCTTTTTTGTTAATAACAAAATTATATCTCATAAAAGTACTTTTCAGTTAACCTACCAAAAATTCCTGAATTATTTAAGTGAGTTTTAGACTATGAGAATCAATTTAAAAAAAAAAAAAAAAAATGATCCTAGAAGTCAATTCTCTAATTTTCCTCCATTACCTGATAAATAATACATTGAAGTATTTAAAAACAACTCTGTGCAAGTGTTTATATGATGTAGAAGAAAAAGGCAGATGCCCTGATGATATATGCCGTGTATACATTTTTTTAAAAAATCAGTCTTATTTGTTGCATCTTAGCCATCATTTTGAGTCAATGTGTGCAAAAAACAAAAAATTGTTAATTTATTAAGCACTCTACAAAAGTTCTTGAGTTATTTGTGCATAGACTATGAGAATGGAGTAAAAAAAAAAAAAATTTGAAAAGAAAAATGTCTAGATTTAGTTCTTTCTTTCTTTTTTTCCTTCCAGATTATCCACCAGCTTCAAGACCCAATTTCCGTAAAGCAGTGGATAAAGCCCGCAAAGAGATGGACAGTGTCATTCATGAACGACGCCACATGATTCGATATTTGGTGGATGGTGTATTTTACTTTCAAGATTAATCATACACTTTGAATCAACTATATGATTTTATTACACCTCAAATTTATTGAATATGATTTGGGGAACTTTCTTTCAGTTGGTCTTATCATCTCTAATTTTCTATCATACCTCTGATCAAATTATCATGAAAATAGAAATTATTTCACAGCACTTGATTGTTTCCAGGATTCATGTCAGTGCATGTAAAATAAAATTTATTTGCATCCTTTGGATGCCACAGATTTTACAAATATTGCGGCATGACTTAATGACAGAGTTCTTAAATCCGTTTTCCTCCTTGTAACATTAAATGTCCCCCGAGTCAGTACTTGAGCTAAAACTGGCTTATGGTCGGTTGATCTATCTTATCAAGAACTGCCATATATTTCTTCCTACTATAAACATTATTTTTAGTAAGTACACATTTGCTATCCCCATTTTTTATTTTATTATATAGTGAAATTAATAACAACCGGCCTAAATTGAGAAGCCATACTAAAGAAAAATTGAGTAAACATTAAACCTGCACTGTATCCCTTTTTTCCATCAGGGAAACTTTTTTGGACCAAAGTGTGCCTCTACCAGTTTGATTGTGGAGACCAGCTTGACAGGTTACCTATTAAAGAAAGCATGTTTTCTCTTTGGGACTTCTACGAATCTATGTCTGCTAGCTTCAGTTTCATACCCAAAATGTAAACAGCATTAATTATTTAAAGGATTTTTTTTTTATTAGATATTATTTCTTTTTACTATAAATGTTATTTTTAGTGGGTACACATGTTTGAGTTGATATCCCTGTTTTTTATTTATTTGTTATTAATTTCACTGTTTAATATAATAAAAAAAAAAAAAACAGGGATAATAACTCAAACATATTTACCCACTTTTTTTCTCTGGTGACCTAACTACATGAATTTAAGCATGCTACTAACTAAATTGGCATCTAGGTCCCACATGTTTACTGTTGAAATAGCTAAATGCAACTGCCACTTCTATTCCAACCATTCCTTTTCTTGCACTTCCTGGCTGTGCAACTCATTTCCATTTTCTTGCTTCTCTGATAACTACAATCTTCAAAACTTTAGATGCAACATCAATCGCCATCTTCTAACTTGAATCATTTGCCCATTTTTTTCCTTTCCTCAATCCTCCCTATACTCAGTCTTTTCTCTCATTTTCATTCCCTGTAACCCACTGTAATAGTGGCATTCTTGCCTTGTTTGGGGTGAAATAATTAAAAAAATAAGAAATAATGTTCAATAAAAACAAATCCTTTCAAATATATATATAGGATTGGTGTAGACAGAATAAATTCCAATAACCAAAAATACTATTCTTAAAAAGTGCTTGATACAGAGTAGAGCAAATATTATTTATTCAAAAATTATAACATGATCATGTTATAACATCACTACAAAAATAGCCATTTTGTTTCAACATTTATGGTGTCTTATCAAGTGATGGTGTTGAATGTAGAATAAAGAGTTACTTTACTTTTGTAGCAATGTTATAACATGTTTATGTTATCATTTTTGAATAAATTATATATAGGATTAATACAAATGTGAAATTTGTCACTTAGCTGATATGCTCATTATAACATCGATCAACTAAGTGACAAATTTACTTTGTATTAATGTGCTATCTGATATTGAGCATTTTTATTACAAAGATTGCTTGCCTTAAATGAATGTCCTTTCTTTCAAAATTCCACTGGCTGCATTTCTGGCTTTACACCATCTTTTATATATATATATATATATATATATATATATATATATATTATAGAGAGAGAGAAAATTGTATTTACACACCTGAAGATTGCAGCAACTGCATGAAACTGAGTTGTGCTATCGACGTTGGATATTATATATAAAAAAAGTCTGATCAACATTTATTTATGAAACTGAAATTTAATCATCTTCCAGATTTATGTCCTTTTACTAACTACTTTACTATTGTTTGTTTATATGCTATACATATATGGAAACTCATTGTGTAAACAATCATTTTATAAGGCATGTTTTGTGACCACATAAAAATGTAAAAGTATTTAATAATTTGATAAATTGTTTTTTAAAGTGAAAATTGTCCTTGGAAATGAATAGCAGCAAAATTTTGTCTCATTTTTGGGTACTTATAATTTAGAAAAAGTAAATAAAATCCAGAGACATAGTAATCCTTAACAACATATATAATTTTTTTTTTTTCAATATTACAAAATCATTTTCTTAGTCAGCAAAACCTCTTAAAAGTAGGAAGCACAAATTCAGCACTATCAGAATTCTTTCTTGGCAAAAGGAATTTGGAATTTAGACAAGGTATAAAATTAGTTTCAGTAGACTTTTGTCATCACTAATTATGTTCTTGAACTTTTGCTACATTTCAACATTTTTTTATTCAGTCTCTCCAAAATGTGACAAGCTGATATAATTGTGTGCTACAGCTCTTTTCTGCAGGAGGTGATACACAATCCATATGATTAAAAAATAAGGCAAACTTGAACCCTCATGCCTTAAAGAAAACAGTGTGTCAAAAGGATGGTTTTTCACTTGACACCATTTTTGTTAATTACCGATCAAACTTTACTATTTATTTAAATGTTAAAAAAAAATTTAAAAAAATGAAATAAATGTTGTGTTGTAGTAAAGAAAAGACTGTCAACTTATAGTAGCAACTGCAATAGATTTCTTGTTTCTCGACCGCAACATTTGTAGCCAAATCGCAGTTCAAACGGTTGCTTGTTGGACTGTTATGACAGGCTAAGTAGAAACGACAAAATGGGGTCACACATCCAACCTTCACTTCTCACGAGCAAAAACGCATGTTCAACTCAAAAAATCTTCTGCCTTTATAAGCGAAAAAACAACGGCTTTGGTTCATCGAGAGATCTTTCTGATTGGTCATGCCATTCAGGGGAGGGGAGAACATTAGCATAGATTCTAGTCATTGAAGTAGATTTTTGCTCACTACTTTTTGGTAATTTTTCTTCGGCAGATCGCACACAGAACACAAACTTTGGGGGGGGTAACATCCTACAGTGAAGATTGTCTTAACATAATTTTAAGGAAAAGGACTAACAAAACTCAGTTATTTGCATCAATGTATAAATCAGCGAATATAATATTAAATATCTGTAACAAAATAAATTCACAAGATGATACTTTTTAAACAACACTATGTATAAGCACTAAATAAACCTAAACAATAAATAGATTATAATAAATAAATAAAATGTCTATTTTAATAAATAAATAATAAAAAAGGAGAAGTGGATTAACAAATATCACTTCCTATATATTTTTTTTTATAATTTCACCCTGTACTTAATGTATCAAATCAACAAAATTAGAAAATTTACTTCAAATTCCAGCTTTGATTACCTGTTTCTTCAAAAGTAGTGTACAGTAGTTGAGAATGACATCCCCTTAAAATCATCTCTGGACATGAAAACAGGAGTAGATAATCTGTAGATTCATATTGGCTATTTTTAGACATTCACAAGATATTTTTCTTCATCGATATATGAAAGATTCATGAGGAACAGGTTAACCAATGATCCCCCAATACGGTACTCATAAAGCCATAGAATGGCTTGGTTGAAACATGGTTTCAAAAGCAACATAAATGAGAGCAATAGTCCGAACAACTTTTGATCTATATTTCTTTTCTTTGTACAGTCTTAAATAACATATTTTATAGTGAACTTCATTGCTCTAATCTCTCAAAATACAAATTAAATGGCTAACATTTTAATGGAGTAATGCTAAGTGTGATTGGAAACCTATAAACATTAATAGTTCCCAAAATCATTAATTGGATTTTTTTCTTAAAATCTCTTAATCTGAGAAATATTTTATAAAGGACTGCTTGAAGTATATATGCAAATTAGATTGTAAAAATAAAACTTGTTATTTTAAGTTTATTTCTATAATATCAGACTGAGCTATTGCAAAATTATATTTCTTGTATATGAAAACCATTTCAAGAAATATCTTTGAATCTCAACTTCATTTGCCCATTTAAATATTTGTAGTAACAAAACATTAACATTTGAAATGATAAGAATCCAAAGTCCAATGCATTTCAGTAACAATTTTTATTGACCACTACATTCAAGTGAAGATTCACAATCAAAACAACCACCAGTCAGCTAACTTTGCTGGATAAAAAAATTAAACAAAAAAAAAAAAAAAGTTATAGCTTGGTATATTCATTTACTGTTATTACATATTTTAACAATAAAGTAGCTAGATCTGGTTCTTAGCAATAAATAAGGCATGGAGCATAGAATTTAATACAATAACAAAACGTACTGCTACTACATTTCTTTCTTCTCTAATAAAGCCAGAGTTGGAGTACTAAGCGACTCTTTAACAACATACTGCAATATACTAAACGTAATGACAAACTATTAGAAACACCATTACAATAGAATTTAATTAAAAGCAATCAATATTCAAACTGCATTGTTGATTTTTAAATTCATATTAAAATAAGTTCTACTGAATAAGATGGTTTCTATTTTGATTTACTCTAATGTAGTTTAAGGGTATATAGACCAACCATAGTAATCATTCTAGCATAAGAGAATTAAGATATATTAATTTGTAGTAGACAAATTATAAAACTTAGTGTCTTCTCTTTTGTTGAAAGTTGAATAAATAAGAGACAAATGATTTTTTTTTCAAACAGAATTTTTGTTTATATTGTTTACTGAAATATTATTGGTTTGTGAGAAAAGACAAATTGAGGTGGAGGTGATATAATAAAAAAATGTTTTGAAGTCTTCAGCTCTAGGAAGAATTTTTCCTAACCAGAATGCATTAAAAAAAGAAAAGTTATTTTCAATTTTTAAAGCCAATTCCAAGGGAAGAGGTACATTACTGTTCAGTTTTCAAAGAGAAAGTTAATAGCATTTAATGCAATACCTTCAAAAACAGATTTGTACAGAAGTTTAGTTAACATTTGTTTTTATTCCATTAATGATGAAAAAGCTAGTAACCTTTTCCAGTGAAAA